GCCGGGACGGGAACGGCCCAGGCGGGGCGGGCTGGGGCCGGGCTCCGTGCTCGGGTTCCGCGCCCCATAGGCGGTATTTATACCCAGGGTGTACCGGCTTCTCCACAGCCTGAGGGGGACGTAAGTTCTGGCCTGAAACAGCCGCCGAACATCGCGGTGCTACCGGCTGCTTGTGTGCGCAGCTGAATCTGTCCTGGTAGAATAGACGTGACAGGGAAAAAAAACCGACACGCCCCGCGCAGCATATTTGAGTAATTCTGCAAATAAATTTCTCTAACCTCTTTGGATTTTTAATTTTGCAGTTTCCTGGCTAAAGTAAAACCTCACGGGGAGTAGGGGGGAGGGTTGGTTTGTAGGTTCTGAAGAACCGAGGGGAGGACTGAAACGTTGCCTGTTAGGAACATGAGTACAGATTAGGCACCTTTTCTGCTGTTATTTTGCAAAAGCTGCCCTGCTTGTCACATTATTTTGAATCATTCAGAAATGGTCAGCTTTGTAGATAAAAAGTTACTTAACCCTTTCTCAGGAAAGATTACATCACACTTAAAAAATCAGACCAGAGACTGCACTGCCCCAGTACGAGTAGCCCTCCCTTGCCAAGATCTTTGCATGTTGGGACATATTAGCGCCATCGTCAGACCCTACCATGATTTTCCTAAACCTTACCTGCAGAATTAAGCAAAACATAAAATGTTGATTTTTTTTTTCCCCCTCTATGTTCTTTGCTGCAGGATGCCTTGCAAAGCATCACATATGTTTCTGGTTTTGTTTGGGGTTATGTTTTGTCTGCTTCAGCTATAGGGAGAGACGATCTTTAGCTACCAGAGAAGCGACCGGGAGAGCCTCTCTCACGCTGTAGTCACAGGCCGCTGTACAGGCGCCAGCAACCAGCCACGCTCAGGCAGCTCTTTCTAAGGAAAGAAAGGGGAAGGCCGAGCAGAGGCTGCACACCGCTTGAAAGCAACCAGCCCAGGCATACCCGCAAGCAGAATGCTGCGGACACGCCGTGACCCGGAGGAGGCTCTGGGGGATCCGGGGCCGCCTCAGAGGCCTCGCTGCCGCCGAGTCCGAGTTCTGCCGGCACCTGCGCGGCCGCCCGTCGCTATGGGAACGGGCACAGGCGCGAGGCATGCCGGTCTGAAAGAAACTGCTGCGGTAAAGTGCTACGAGAGCTCCGGATGCTGGCCAATGAGCACTCGGGGGGGTGGTGGCGGTGACCAATGGCTGGTGGCCAGTAGGGAGGGGGCGGGGCTGGGGGCGCTTGGAGGCGACGGCGGCGGGCGCGGGTCGGTTAAACCGGCGCGCCGGCGGAGCGAGTTGCGTGTCCGCGTTCCTTTGTGCCCCGCCCGCTCCGTGTCACGCAGGGCCGCTCCCGTGGCATCCGCTGAACGGTGAGGAGAGCGCCGTGAGGGCCTTGAGCGCTGCGGTGGGGTAGCTCCCAAGAGGGGTTGGGTCCCACCGGGCTACCGGGAAGGCTGAGCCTGGGCAGCCGGTGCCCGGGCACGCTGGCAGCTCCCCCGTGCCCTGGAAGAGCGGCCGCCTCCCCGGGAGCTGCAGGCGGGAGCCTCCCCTGTGGCCGCGCGGGGCTCCGAGCCTTTGGTGGAGGCTGCCGGGCTTCG